TTACATAGGCATGGGGAAATCTATTTTCTATTTTTTTGCTTGACCTCACTCTCAACACCAAGCTTCTTCCACATGTAACTGCTTTTATAAATTGTGAATGTTCCCTTTAATCACAGCAACAGAATTTTCTTTCAAAATATCCTTCTTTGACATTGCTCCCAGAAAAAAAAGTATCATGGTAGATAAAGCATAAAAAGAATTTTTTTTGGAAAATTCTTCAAACACCAAATACCTCTTAGAAGTTCTATCTAAAGAAAAAAATAGAGATATACTGCTTATAACTAGTAAAATTATCCTCTCCATTTCCACATTCCCAAAAACTTCATGAAATGTTTGTTGACACAACAAACAGACTGATGGGAAATGACCAGATGCCATTTATGAATATCAGATTTGTTTTGACATTGTTGGTCACCAGTATAAAGAGGTAGATGAGGGCTACTGGGTTTCTCTCCTGCAAAGTCACAACCACAGTATAGCTTACAGTGCGAATAAAGCCTCAAGTGAACTTTAGCCATGGATACAACACGGAAAAATGGTTACAAATTCATTCACACATACAATCGTGTACCTATTCTGCAAACTGGATCAAGTTTTTACTTTTCTACCTGGAAGCACACTGATCCCACTTTGCCTAATAAGCTTATTCAAAGCAGATGTGACAATATCCTAGGAGCAGGATTAAGCTAGTAGGCAAGGCAGAATCAAACAACAACTGCCACAGAACTGGTGGGAAGTTTAAGCCCACAACGCTATCCAGAAAGGCTCTTAGCTTACTAAAAGAGTCTTACACCCTATTCACACAAGGTAGATCATGCCTGAAAAATACTCCTATAAAAAATCCAATGTCATAAATGAAAAGTCCTAAAATTTGTAAAGAACCACAAAAGTACTGAAAGCCAAAGTAATGCTGAAAAAAAGAACAAAGCTGAAGGCATCACATTTTCTGGTTTTTAATTATAGTGCAAAGCTATAGTAATCAAAATAGTATGCCACTGGCATGGAAATAGACACATAGACCAATGGAACCAAATCGAAACCTAAGAAATACATCTCCACTTGCATGATCAACTAATATTGGACAAAAGAACCAAGAATACTCATGAGGAAGAATAGTTTCTTTCTGGAACTCCAGAACTGACAGCTACCACATTGGAGTCTAAGTTATTGTTGATAAAGTTGACTTCCAAGGGCATAGCACCCCAAAATCAGGTTCGGGTAGGATATAAATTATCCCATGGGGGACTGTAAAGACAGGCCTTTTTTCAAGGCTCAAACTTTCTTTTAAATAAGATTTCAGGGTTTTTTTTAATGCCATCAAATGCTTTATGATTATAAGGCTTTAGATGCCATATATTTCCTCTGGTTTATTTTTTTCTCTGCTCCTTGAAAAATATGTTTTTAAAATTTTTCAGGATTCTTCTAAGAAGAAAAAAACAAAAGATGTTTTCCAAAGAGGAAAAAATAACTTATCACATTTGATAGTTCTTGCTATAACATTGTTCAAGACTTTGGTGATAAACACACAGTACAACACACCGAAGACCTATTATAGAATTGACCACTTAGAACCTATGTGATTTTACTGATCAGCGTCACCCCAATAATTTCAATAAGGATGAAGATAAATTTTAAAAGTTAAATAATTTTCCCACAAAATTTTATTACAATTAAAAGAAAATTGGAACGACCTCTCCCCAAAGCTCATTGACGTTTACTGCTGGCAGACGATTGAATGGCGGCAGATCCTGAGCTTGGTGGGACATTTCTCTTCAGCTCCCAAACTGCATGACTACTGGGAAACCTGCCAAACTGGAGTGGTTCCCGCCAGATCTGATCGATCTCACAACTAACTTCATCTTAATTGGAGCTCTATTTCTTATACCTGACTATTGGGCAGGGTCGTGTTTGGGGACAAAAACTTCTCTAGTTGCTCACAATCAGAAGAAAAAGACATTTCATTCAGCCTGTCTTCACAGTATTTAGCAGCAAAAGCAAGGTGATTTCAAAATCACTGTTCACGGTGCATGGTGCTTCAGTGTTACTATTGACATTTAGGTGTTAGACAGGGCCACCTAGCAGAACTGAGCGAACCTGTACCCACACCACTGGTTTGTGCTGCCAGCACCTTCCTTCCTATCTTGCTTGAAAAGATGACCTTAAACTCCTACTTCAGCTCATATAACTCTCTATGCAGAACACTAGCATTAAATAATAACATTGGAGTCAAATTATATGTTAACTGAAGGATTCATGATTGTATCCTTAGCACTTAGCACTGTGGTTGGCATGTTGTGAGGACCCCTGATAGGTCAAGGAGGTATTTAAATATCATGCACCTATCCACACTAGACAAGTTCTCAGTCCAACAGATTTACTCAGTCATTCCATAGATCTTAAGAATATAAAATTCACCCTGTGGAATAAATTCAGTAAGAAAAGAGAAGTATAATAAAAGGTTGGCTATTTCGAATGTTCTGTATTTAAAATGGCAAGGACAAGCCTAGGTAAACAAAAAATGGAATGTGTTTTCCTGCCAGACAGGCAAGGTCCCTAGCAATTTGAGGCAAAGGATCAATCACAGAGAGAATGGCACCAAAGCAGGCTTCCCCCAATCCTTCACCATGCCTGCTGTTGCCTCTGGCACAAAGATAACATTAGGGAATTTTGAAAGCAAAAGAAACAACCAATTAAAAAATGAAGAGTTAAAATGTAACAAAATAAGATTTCCCTGATGTACACTGAAAGTGTGAATAACTATGATTACAATCCAAGGAGGGTACAACAGGGGAGTGAGGAGAGTGGGGGAGAAGGTAGAAAACAATAAAACAGTAAAAAAATGGGGGGGGGCAAGAATAGCATGGGAAATATAGAACCTAAAGGACTTGAACACATGACAAAACAAAGGGGGGTAAGTTTGGGGGGCAGGGGAGGGGAAGAAGGGAGAAACTGAAAAAATAAATTAATTAAAAAAAAAACATAAGAGAATTTCCCTAACTCTTCTACTGTTTGAATACTGAGTTAGCTATCAGTCTACCTATTAATCATACTACAAATATGATAGGTAGATGATAGATAGATAGATGATAGGATAGATAGAGAATGATAGACAAATAATCTTTCATAACTTCAAAACACGTTGTAGAGTCAATACCATTATGTTGACCAGGAAAGAAAATTTGCTTGAATTAACTTCTTTAATGGATCATGCACAAGGGAACAAGCAACACTGAGTACCAATCTGCATGCTTGATTTCATATTTGGGTCTCAAGTGGCTTCTCTTTCAGTTCTTACTTGTCAAAGTAATGAGATGAAAAGACAAAGGCTAATCCCTGCCAATTCTGATGTGCTAAAAGTCCAAAGAAGGGAAGAAGTCACGGGGAAAGAGGAGCATACCCAAATGAAAGAAGTTATTTTATCCAAGGACATCAAAGTTAGCATACAAAGTTACTGTTTGAAAAATCATTTTGAATTCAAGGCATAAACATGTGACTTTCATCAAGGTGTGGAGGCCTATATATTTTAGAATGACAACCAAGACAAAGATGAGAATCCACCTGTACTAAACCATTGTACCTGAACATGGTGTAGGGTTGTCAGATAAAAAACAAGATACTCAGTTAATTTTGAACTTCAATAAATAATATTTTAGTCTACCATAATTATTTCATGGAAAATTCTTTTGCTAAGAAATTGTTTGTGCTCATTTAAAAATCAAATTTAACCAGGTGTGCTATTTTTTATTTGCTAAATCCAGCAAATTTCTAAACACAACAAAAATATCATTTTGTTTGTCATAGAGTAATAGTCAAATGCTCAAATTGTAAAAGATACTCAGAAACAAATACAGTTATTTATAATTTATGGCAAAAACTGAACTGTGAACTCTGTCTATATTTTAGATTCATAACGATAAAGAACATTAGGAAAAAGTAATCAGAATTCTCTCTCTAATACCTGGCTGTGCTAGTGCCCGTGCATTTTAGAGTGAATCAGCAGGTACACGTATCAAGTTGCCTTATGAAATTCTAGGGTAGGCAATAAGGTGAGGTCAATGTGTCACTTACCTGAGAACAAACTTCAGGAGAGGGTACAAAAAAACTCATCAAACTAAATACATTTTATTGCAATAGTTTTAGAAATCAAAATTAAGGCAGTAAAAAGTATGATAAAATATCCAAAACTGAAATGAAGATAAGATCTGATCATAGGAAAATTGTAACTTTCCCCATTGACTAGTAAGCTCACATTGAACTCTTTCAGCTTGCACAGTCATTTCTATGGCCATCCTACCATGCAGAAAGAGGACTGTCTGCTTAAGATGAGGTTTAGCAGACATCCCGTATTCCCATCTTAGAAGATAGCACTTTCTGGCTAAGAGAGGTTAAATATGCATTGCAGTTCAGGACTCAGTCATACAAGTCATGGAGTCACTGTTTATCCATAGAGCATTTTCATACAAATTAGAACAAAAGGAAACAGCCTTCAGCTATGATGGCTGTAATGGACATGGTGTCTCTTCCAATGTGGTGCTCCTGTGCACTGCACAGCTGGTGACATACGAGTGACCTGGGCTGGTTTCAGGGGAATCTCAGTTCAGCTTACAGAGATGACAACACAGGCAGCTGGACCAGAGGAGATGACAGGAGAGCCATGACTATCGAAGGAGCAGGCAGGTAATGTGTCAGCAGGGACATGAGTGTCCATCAGTGTCTTAAGGAAAAGGGCTGGATTAGGGAGAGGCAAGTGGGATAAAACTTTCTTACTGTCGGTTATAAATGTATACAAAAATAAAAATGGTAAAAACTAATATTTATTTAATGCACTGTAACTTAAAACATTAAAAACATGTAGAATTGTAATTTTTATTTCTTCATTAAAATATCATCAAGGGCAATTGGAAGAATGTTCGCTTTTCCTTCATCATATAGTTTATAATAGGGAGTGAGCATCATTTCTATGCCTTGGAAAATTGTCAGATTTCTTTCTTTTTTTCTGTCAGGGAAGAGAGCAAACACAGTTCCCCACTGTCACAAATTCTGCAGTTGAGTTCCCCACATTTGGGGAAATCGCAGGGGTCAGCCCATTTGGAGTGCAATAAATACGCCTTGCCCTGGAAAAACCACCTTCGTGGCCATGGTATCTCCCCTGCCAGGTAAGTATGTCTTATTTCTTTCTAAATTTCAACATTTGACTTTCAAAATTTTTTCCTTTTTGCTTTTATGTCATGAGATATCTCCAAGAATTCCTCTAATGTATTTTTCTTGCCAGAGTCACTTCCTCTGAGACATCTTCATTCTTTTTGTCACAACCTCATTCTTCGTTTTTGTCGGTAAGTCCTCCACCACGAAGCTCCTCTGGTTGGGTGTCCAGTATCTCTCAAACGGTGAGTGTGTCAAGGTCACTGTGGTCAGCTGAGGCTGTGACTCCACTTATTTTCTATGAAAATTTTACTCCCAACATAATCACTTCTCATTTCTCTGCTGGGCTTTCATCTTTTGTGGCCAATTTCCTCTCTTCCTGCTACCTGGTTTTATGAAATATCTTGTGGGTCTATCACTGATATCAAGAAGAAAAATACAACTGCATGCTTTGTTCTTGGTGCATGAACCAAACACGAACAGACTTTGAAGAGTGACATGATTTATCATTGATCAGGACACCCATCAGTCACTTATGTATTAATTTGTGGACTGAAGAGCTAATAGTAAAATGTACTCTTTAGGCAATTAGATACAGTTAATATACTCTGGTAACTGAAATTTGAACCATATTGTAGTAACTAAAATTTATGAATAGTCCAATTATGAAATGTAAGAATTGCCTATGTGTTAATCTCTCTCTTAATAATCCTGAAGTTAAAACAAGAATTGGCTGAATATAAAACAAGGTACATAATTAGACTTAACAGATTTTTCTCCTATTCCCATTCAAAGTATATTTTATTCAAAGTATATGTTCATAATTTTTCAGTTACCTTCTCCTTCCAAAATAATCTATAGTCTAATAAACTTGTCTATACTAACATACTCATAGAGTTGGACAAAGGGAACTCCTAGGTCCTATTCTCCCTCCCAGAAAACAAGCACAGGTATTGTCTAACTGCTCAGCAGCCACACTGAGGTCAAGCTCATCCCCACCTCTTTATAACACATTTCCCTACAGAAATTAGAGCCTGGAAGATTTCACAGTCTTTCCTGGAGTAAACTTTCTGCGGGTGACCCAACATCTATGAAGCAGATAAAGCCACTGAAACTTGGAAGATAGAAGTCAGCACCGAGTGCCCCAGGTTCACCTGTGTTCTTCTGAGGTGGTAGCAACAGAGGGTTCTTAAGGATCAGTCCCCGGTGTTATTGATGCTCAGAAGCAGTGATAGCAGCAGCAGTGAATTTCCACTGGAAGATTCCCATGTTGTGGTGTAGCATACAAGCTTGGTTACCTGGTACAAGCTGAGGTTTAGCCCTGGCTGGTGTGGCTCAGCGGATTGAGTGCCTGACTGCAAAACAAAGGGCTGTTGGTTCAATTCCCAGTCAGAATCCATGCCTGGGTTGCAGGCCAGGTCCCCAGTAGGGGTCACACAGGAGACAACCACACATTGATGTTCCTTTTTTTCTCCCTCCCTTCCCCTCTCTCTAAAAATAAGTAAATATAATCTTTTTTTAAAAAGCTCAGGGTTACTTTTTCAGTCTCAAATATTGAAAAGTGCTATATTCTTTACCATTTTCCCCCATCCATAAATAATATTTAGAGTTAGATCTATGGAGCTGAATGTCCTATGCAGTTATCCAAGTTCCTGGTCAAACTGCCTCCATGTGTCTTAGTCAGTCATGGAAACAGGAGTCTATACTTCCTAGTCTATTAAGATGGGAACTGTGTTCTAAATGTTCTCTAAGATTTCTTCCCATGCTAACCTGACTACTTTCTGATTTTGAATGTAAAACTTACATATTCCAGGGCCAAACAATGTTGTACCCATCCAGTGAGAGAAAACAGATGCCATGAGAACAGAAGCATTAAGTTCTCCACAGGATTTCTAAATAATAATAGTAATAGTAATAATAAATTATAATCTAATCCTGTTCTTTACTAATGGTATATTTTCAGCTAAGTAAGTTAGTTTTCTCCTATTTATTGAGTGATTATTATGTATCAAACATTCCAACACTTTATGTGTATGATCTAATTTGTCACAATATTATGAGGCATTGGTCATTTTTTACAAATGAAACAATGGAAGCAGAAAAAAATAACTAAGCTGACCCAGGAAATAAAATTTCTGAGAAATTCTGGTATTCAAACCTAGAAATCTGACTCCAGAGTCTGTGTATTTAATAACAGTACAATATTTTCATCTCTAGGAAACCAATCTTAATTTATTCCCGAAAGCCCTCCCACCAAATGAAAACAATTGGATAATAAAAATTAGTTCTGTTTATTTTAATGGGAAGAATTATGACATAGTCCATCCAACATAAGATAGTTGAACAATTTTATAGAGGAATGCATCAAAATTGAACGAGAACCAGTTTGCATAAGTTAATTAAAATGCAAATTGAAAAAAAAAGTTAATTTAGTATGTATTTACATAAAATATGGAAAGAAAACACAGAATAACTGACATGTAATATCATAAAATTTTGCAGCAGTCACCAAAGGAGAATGGTGGGCAATGGCCATAGGAGAAAAGGAGCAAGTTGGTGGACTTAACAAGATGCATTCTTCTTTCTGCACCATTTTGTTCACAAAAATAGGGGGTGTGGGGATCATTTTATCTCACATTAAAGTTAAGCTTAATATTATAACGTAGAAAAACAAATTTTAAAAAAAGCTAAGCATGACTTTCAGAAACACATAAAACCATCCATGCTTAGAGCATACTAAAGAATCAGCAAAGGTGCATCTTTTTCATTTCCTTGTTTGACCACACAACACAAAGGAAAACAGATTAGGTCTTTCTAACATTGGCACTTTTTCAAATCCACTTCATATGTTATTGTATCATTGGAGCCTGATGTATTGAATAATGACTGAATGTGTTTTGTCTTGAAATGTTAATGATGGAGTATAAACAACTTATAGCATATTTATTTAGTGTGTTTTGGAATGAAAGTGTCAAATAAAGACCAAATAAAAAGAGTTATCTAAAAAATGGTGTAGTTTTATAATAATTACCATAATGAAAACGAGTTAGCCTGGAGAGTGGTTATGTGGTCTACATCGCTTCAGTGCTAACATATAATTTCATCTCCAAGGTTACAGCTCATTGACCTCATAGATAACCATCTTCGAAGTAATAGTGTGATAGCTTTATAGTATGTAATCTTGGCTAGACTGAACTATAGTCCCTAGAATTCTCTTTCTAGTTTGTTTCTGCTTTGGATGAACTGCTGTGAATGGATTTTGCAAGATATACTTAAAGTCTCTTCTCAGTTGATTTTAAATTTATTAAAAGAGAGATTATCTTCGGTGGTCCTGACTTAATCGAATGGAAGTCCTTCAAAAGATGGCTCAGCCCTTCCCTGAGCCAAGAGGCCCAACCAGGTCTGCAGTCGCTCCCTGTTTTTCCCTGGATCTTCCTTCCTGACTGCTTGTCAATGACAAGCATGAACCCATGGAGGTTCATGGCCCAGCCTGCTCAAGACCTCCCCTTCCTCACTGCCTGCTCTGTGGCCTTTGGGCTTGTTTAGCTGGCTACACCACTAGGTAAGCCAATTCCTAATAATAACTGTCTTTTTGTTTTCATTTTAATTTTTTATTTTATTCAATTTTGGGAATAATTACACCGACTGGTTCTGCTTCTTGGTTGAACCCACACTGCTACATAGAATATACTTGTATTTGAAAATTGCAGTTGGAAAAACTGCCTTGATGGCTACACACATTCTAGATGTTGAACAAGTTGGTTTATGGGAATAGGATATTAGACAACTTCTATTTATTTTTTACCTCAAAGAATAAGACAAATCAAAAAGCTTGACTGATATTTATAATACAGATTAAATCGATTGTTCTCACTCAGCCCCTATGTGAGAGGGTCACTTGTTACCCTCAATCCTGAGATGTCCTGAGGGAAGACTGAAGACTTCTATAACATGAAGGACCTGACAGCGGAACCCTGTGCATCATTGCCCACGAATCAACACATGCTGGCATTTTGGGGTACAATAAAAGTCCTTGTTACAGATGTGGTGGAATGCATAATGTTAACTAGATTAATATCTACAAAATGGATACCAGGTTTACAGGGCTGTAGCACATTAATTGAATTGAGTAAATATCAATAATCCAAGCACATCTGCCTCATAGAAAAGTGACAAAACCAATTCTTCCATGCCTGGTACAAGTTCTTCTTCAGCCCCAAATCCAGGGAAAACAATCATGCAAAACTGACCTAACAGATATGACAGGGAATTCGCGGGGAGCAGGAGGCAGAATTTCACTGCCTGGACTTTACATGACAGAACAATAAATTCTATCTTGCTTATGCCACCATAATTTGAAATTTTCTGTCCCACGCAGTTTAACTTAGCTTTCACTATGTACATAAACATTTACCTAATGTTTTTAATATTTAAGTAGTATCATAAAATATTGTTCTATAGGATAATAACAAATATTGCCAATCTTCTCAGTACTAGAATTATAAAACCATTCTTTTTAATGGCCACATCTGTTTGATTAAAACATCATGTATAGAATGTGTACACCACATTTTATTGAATCATTCCCCACTGCTAAATGTTGTTTCTAGTTTTGACTATTATAAACCAAAGCCCTAATCGACATCCTTGGCTGTCTCTTTTTACACGTCAGACAGCATTTCTCTAGCCTTTATTTCCTATTGTAATTGCTGAGTCTGAAGGTATTCACGTTTCCATTACTCAGAGAAATTCCCTGTTCCTTCCTAAATATATTCTTAGTTTACTCCCCCAACCAGTTGTATGCCAGCTGTGTGTAGAAGTAATGTGTATGAACCAGATCTTAACTCCATAGTCCCCTGAAAACTTCTCTTTCTACAGACTAAAAATTCCCTGTATACTTTTCTTTATGTGACATAGCTTTCAGAATTGTCCTCATTGTAGTAGCTCACAACATTGTATTAATCCTTTCAAACTGTGCCAACCAAAACTGTTCAAAAGTTCTCAAACTTTTTCTATCAGGAT